AAGGGCCTGTTTCTGTGCTGTAATTTTCTTTGTTCTTTGTTCTTTGAAGGGCCGAATGGCCTGCTCCTGCACCTACTTTCCATACTTTTGTGTCTAATTGTGACTGGACAACTCACTGGAGGAGGAGGCTCCACAAAAATCCCCATCCTCAATGATGGAAGAGCCCAGCACATCAGGGCAAAAGACAAGGCTGAAGTATTCGCAGCAATCTTCAACCAGAAGTGCTGAGTGGATGATCCATCTCTCCCTCCTCCAGTAGTCCCCAGCGTCACAGATACCAGTCTTCAGCCAATTTGATTCACTCCATGTGATATCAAGAAAAGTTTTAAGACATTGGATATTGCAGAGGCTACGGGCCCTGACAACATTCCGGCAATGGTACTGAAGACTTGTTCTCCAGAACTTGCCGTTCCCCGAGCCAAGCTGTTCCAGTACAGTTACAGCCCTGGCATCTACCTGACAATGTGGAAAATTGCCCAGGTATGTCCTGTACACAAAAAGCAGGACAAATCCAACCCGGCCAATTACTGCCCCATCAGTCTACTCTCGATCCTTGTTTGTATAATCGAAAAGAGGCCACTCAGCCCTTTGATCCTGTTCCACCATTCTATTAGACCATGGCTGACCCTCATTTTAACCTTGACTCTATATCCCTAATAATCTGTCACCGTCTTGGTCATCAAGAATCTATCTACCTCTGCCTTAAAAATATTCAAAGGTTCTGCATCCACTCCTTTTGGAGGAAGGGAATTCTAAAGACACTCAACCCTCTGAGAGAAATAATGTTTTGTCGTCTCTGTTTTAAATAGGCACTCCCAAATGTTTAAATGGTGAGCCCTCTCTCTGTCTGTGTATTGCTGTTGTGAAGCAGCACGAGGGACAGGACTGACTAATGCATGCAGCACCTCAGACCTGCTCACTTATCCATTAAGGTCACATCCCTCGGGACCATCCACTCCACTTTCTGAACATATTCTGTAATTCCCAGAGAGATGAGAAATCCCATGATTTCTGTGGAACTAAAACAGAAGTTGCTGGAAAAGCTCAGCAGGTCTGGCAGCATCTGTGAAGGAAAAATCAGAGTTAACGTTTTGGGTCCGGTGATCCTTCCTCAGAACAGTTCTCTCATGGATATCCTCAACAACATTGAATGCTTAAGACAAAGGACATCAAACAGGATCCAAAACTATAATCAAATGAAATCCATCATCTCTCTCTCTCTCCTCCCTGCACTTTCTACCTCTCCTGCAACCTTTCATTCTCTCTCTCTGTCTCTCACTCTGTCTTTCTGTCCTTCCTGTGTCTCTCACTCTCTCTCTCTATCTTGCTCTCCCTGTCTGTCATTTGCTTAGTCTATGTCTCCAGCCATGTTGCTACTTCTCTTTCTGTTTCTCTCCATCTGTTTATCTGCCTCTCATTGTCTCTATCTCTATGTTTGCCTCAGACTTTGTCTCTTTCAGTCCCTGCCTCTCTGTTTGTCTGTCTCCCTCTCTCTGTCCCGCACCCCATCTCCCCTCTGTCTCTTTCTCACCCCTCGCTCTCAGCCTCTCTCATTTTCTCTCTGTTATCTGATCTATTCAGCACTGGTTTTTGATGCTGTCTTTGTGATTTTTGGGCTATTGGTAAATTATCTTTACGTTTTGGCTCCCAGTTCTGGCAGAATCTCCGAAGACCTCACTGAGAAGTCCCAGGGAAGAGCAGAAGATCCGTCACTTTTTTGCTCCAGAATATGATGGTAAATGGGTAACACGGTGGCTCAGTGGTTAATGCTCCTGCCTCACAGCGCCAGGCACCTGGGTTCGATTCCGCAACTCTCTGAGTTTGCACATTCTCCCCGTGTCTGTGTGGGTTCCCTCCGGGTGTTCCGGTTTCCTCCCACAGTCCGAAGATGTACAGGTTAGGGTGGATGGCCATACGAAATGTGGGGTTACAGGGATAGGGTAGGGCAGTAGGTCTGGGTGGGATGTTCTTTGGAGGTTCACTGTGGACTTGATGGGCCAAATGGCCTGTTTCCACAATGTAGGGATTCTATGAAATGTGACTTTGTCCCGAAGCTGCAGGAACAGCTCTCCCCAGGGGAACAGAGCTCAGCCTGACTGAGTCTTCATTGAAGAATTGATCATTTACAGCTGGGGACAGGGATGGGTGAAAGGTCAGAGTTTGGGATCATTACTTGGGATCAGTGTAAGGAAAGTTGGGCCAGGACAGAGAGCTTTGGATCAGTGGGACCTTGGAACTGTCCTTGGGGAAATGGGCTGTGTAGAAGGGTCATACCAGAAAGGAGCTGGGACTCTGTTCCTTGTGGGGTGGGGAGTGGGCAGGTTGCTAATGTTACTGGAGAAGGTTTATATTAATTAATGCTGCTGTCTCAGATAAATCAGAAAAAAGGATTGGTTGCCAAATCTGTAACTGCCTTCAAAGAATCCCAAACACCTCCTTCAAGATCCACTCCCTCCACCACCGACGCTCAGTCGCAGCAGTGTGTACTATCTACAAAATGCGCTGCAGAAATTCACCAAAGATCCTCAGACAGCACCTTCCAAACCCAAGACCGTTACTACCCACATCTCATGACTAAATGAAAAGAGGCTTGGGCACAGTTAGAGCTAAATTCAGTGATGATGCCATCAAATGTCACAGAACTGGTGGTTAGATTCTCTCTTGTTGAGATGGAGATGACCATCGCCTGGCACTTGTGAGGTAAGAATGTTATTTCCAAACTGGGCATCACTGAACAGGTTATTTCTGAGCAGGTGCTGCTTGATAGCACTGTTACTGACACCTTCCATCACTTTACTGATGATCGAGAGGAGACTGATGGGGCGGTAATTGGCCGGGTTGGATTTGTCCTGTTTACAAAGAGCAGGCTTATACACTCTTCATTGAACCAGAGTTGATCCTTGGCCTGATGATAATTGTGGGGGATATTGCAGGCCGTGATATTCAGAGTAACCAGAACCAGATGCCCCATTCAGAGTGACTGGATAAACAAAAAAAACCTGAAAGAACTGGAAATCAGAAACAAAAACAAAAGCCCTAGAAACTGTGCTGTGAAGAAGGGTCACTGGACCCAAAACATTAACTCTGCTTTCTCTCCACAGATGCTGCCAGGCCTGCTGAGTTTTTCCAGCAATTGTAGTCAAATAGTGTCTCTCTGTCCCTCCTTGTCTCTGTGTGGGAGGGCATCACTGGCTAGGCCAGCATTTATTTATTGCCCAGTTTAACAGTCAACCACATTGCTGTGGGCCTGGAGTCACATGTAGGCCAGACCAGGTAAGGATGGCCGTTTCCTTCCCTAAAGGGCATTAGTGAACCAGATGGGTTTTTCCCCGAAGAATTGGCAATGGATTCACGGTCATCATTTAATTCCAGATTTTTTTTTCATTTAATTCAAATACCACCATCTTCCGTGGCAGGATTTGAACCTGGATCTGCAGGACAGTACATGGGTCTCTGGATATATTGCATCATGGTAATCCCACCAGGCCACGATTACTTTGATATCACTTGGAGCAGAGTTCCCCTGTCGCTATTCATAGGAAAGACCCTCCCAGAGCTTTGTGATTGATAACTGTACTCACATGGTCACACAGAGTCATAGAGATGTACAACACAGAAACAGACCCTTAGGTCCAACTCATCCATACCGACCTGATATCCTAAATTATGGGCAGCAAAGAAGTTACCTCAGAGTACAAAGGGACCTCGGTCGATGGGCCAATGGGCCAAGGAGTGGCCGATGGAGTTTATTTTAGATAAATGTGAGGTGCTGTATTTTGGAAAGGCAAATCAGGGCAGGACTTACACACTTCATGGTAGGGTCCTGGGGAGTGTTACTGAACATAGAGACCGTGGAGTGCAGGTTCATAGTTCCTTGAAAGTGGAGTCGCAGGTAGACAGGGCGGTGAAGAAGGTGTTCGGTACGCTTGCCCTTATTGGTCAGTGCATTGAGTATAGGATTTGGGAGGGTCATGTTGCAGCTGTACAGGACATTGGCTCAGCCACTATTGGAATACTGCATATAATTCTGGTCTCCCTGCAATAGGAAGGATGTTGTGAAACTTGAAAAGATTTACAAGGATGTTGCCAGGGTTGGAGGGTTTGAGCTACAGGAAGAGGCTGAATAGGCTGGGGCTATTGTCTGAGGTTGGAAAAGCACAGCAGGTCAGACAGCATCAGAGGAGCAGGAAAGTCAATGTTTTGGGTGGAGACCCTCTCTCAGGATTCTTGCTGCTCTGATGCTGCCTCACCTGCTGTGCTTTTTCAACCTCACACCATAGACTGTGGCTTCCAGCATCTGCAGTCTTTACCGTCTCCTAGACTGGAGCTATTTTCCCAGGAGCGTCGGAGGCCGAGGGGTGACCTTATTGAGGTTTATAAAATCATGAGGGGCATGGACAGGGTGAGTAGCCAAGGTCCTTTCCCCTAGGGTAGAGGAGACCAAAACTAAAGGGCATGGGTTTAAGGTGAGAGGGGAAAGATTTAAAAGGGACCTGTGGGGCAACTTTTTGACACAGAGGGTGGTGTATGTAAGGAATGAGCTGCCAGAGGAAGTGGAGGAGGCTGGTATGATTACAGCATTTAAAAGGCTTCTGGATGGGTATATGAATAGGAAGGGTTTAGAGGGAAATTGACCAAATGCTGGTAAACTTGCTTTTTTTGCTGTTTTCATACATTGCCTCTTGCTATTCCTCCTTGTGTTTCTAGGTCAGGGTAAGGACACAACCGCTCTGGATATTTTTGCGTTCGGAATCTGTGCCTTGGAGGTAAGAAGCTGAGAGGAATTGTGAGGCAGGTACCAATCAGAATCTCATACACCTCGATCGAATCTCCCTCACTGCCCCCTGCTCCAAGGAGATTCTCCAACCTCACTCAGTAACTGAAGCCCCTCATCCCTGGAACCATTCTGGGAAATCTCTCTGCACCGTCTCAGGGGCCCTCACATTGATCATGATTTGTTGTTTACACACCCTGGTTGGCTGTCATTCAAATCTATCAAAATGCCTATTGGTCCGACTGTCAGTCTCTGTGTGTCAGTCGGTGCGCGACTGTCAGTCTCTGTGTGTCAGTCGGTGTGCGACTGTCAGTCTCTGTGTGTCAGTCGGTGCGCGACTGTCAGTCTCTGTGTGTCAGTCGGTGCGTGACTGTCAGTCTCTCTGTGTGTGTCAGTCGGTGTGTGACTGTCAGTCTCTGTGTGTCAGTCGGTGTGCGACTGTCAGTCTCTGTGTGTCAGTCGGTGCGCGACTGTCAGTCACTGTGTGTCAGTCAGTGTGTGACTGTCAGTCTCTCTGTGTGTGTCAGTCGGTGTGCAACTGTCAGTCTCTGTATGTCAGTCGGTGCGCGACTGTCAGTCTCTGTGTGTCAGTCGGTGTGCGACTGTCAGTCTCTGAGTCTCAGTCAGTGTGTGACTGTCAGTCTCTGTGACTCAGTCGGTGTGCGACTGTCAGTCTCTGTGTGTCAGTCGGTGTGCGACTGTCAGTCTCTGAGTCTCAGTCGGTGTGCGACTGTCAGTCTCTGTGTGTGTCAGTCGGTGTGCGACTGTCAGTCTGTCTGTGTGTCAGTCGGTGTGCGACTGTCAATCTCTGTGTGTCAGTCGGTGTGCGACTGTCCATCTCTATGTGTCAGTTGGTGTGCGACTGTCAGTATCTCTGTGTGTCAGTCGGTGTGCGACTGTCAGTCTCTGAGTCTCAGTCGGTGTGCGACTGTCAGTCTCTGTGTGTGTCAGTCGGTGTGCGACTGTCAGTCTGTCTGTGTGTCAGTCGGTGTGCGACTGTCAATCTCTGTGTGTCAGTTGGTGTGCGACTGTCAGTCTCTCTGTGTGTCAGTCGGTGCGCGACTGTCAGTCACTGTGTGTCAGTCGGTGCGCGACTGTCAGTCTCTGTGTGTCAGTCGGTGTGCGACTGTCAGTCTCTGTGTGTCAGTCGGTGTGCGACTGTCAGTCTCTGTGTGTCAGTCGGTGTGCGACTGTCAGTATCTCTGTGTGTCTGTCAGTCTCTGTGTGTCAGTCGGTGTGCGACTGTCAGTCTCTGTGTGTCAGTCGGTGTGCGACGGTCGGTCTGTGTGTGTCAGTCGGTGTGCGACTGTCAGTCTCTGTGTGTCAATCGGTGTGCGACTGTCAGTCTCTCTGTGTGTCAATCGGTGTGCGACTGTCAGTCTCTGTGTGTCAGTCGGTGTGCGACTGTCAGTCTCTGTGTGTGTCAGTCGGTGTGCGACTGTCAGTCTCTGTGACTCAGTCGGTGTGCGACTGTCGGTCTCTGTGTGTCAGTCGGTGTGCGACTGTCAGTCTCTGTGTGTCAGTCGGTGTGCGACTGTCAGTCTCTGTGTGTCAGTCGGTGTGCGACTGTCAGTCTCTCTGTGTGTCAGTTGGTGTGCGACTGTCAGTCTCTGTGTGTCAGTCGGTGTGCGACGGTCGGTCTGTGTGTGTCAGTCGGTGTGCGACTGTCAGTCTCTGTGTGTCAATCGGTGTGCGACTGTCAGTCTCTCTGTGTGTCAATCGGTGTGCGACTGTCAGTCTCTGTGTGTCAGTCGGTGTGCGACTGTCAGTCTCTGTGTGACTCAGTCGGTGTGCGACTGTCAGTCTCTGTGACTCAGTCGGT